TATATATATATATATATATATATATATATAATATATATATATATATATATATATATATATATATATATATATATATATATATATATATATATATATATATATATATATACATACATATATATGTATATATATATATATATATGGTAGGTTACTCTTATCCTATATTAATACCCAGAAAAACAGTATTTAAAGTCAGAAATTTGTGAAAGAAAAATCAAGGATTCTTGCAATCTGCTGGTAAATCAGAGAGAACAAACAAAGCAAAGATTTTAAATATCTACCTGGTTGGACTCAGAGACAGGATGACTGGGAGCACAGACTGTTTTCGGCAAATCTCTAATTCTATTCCTGGAATTGTAAATTCGAAATTTCCAAACTCAAAGAGCATTTGAGAAATAAATTTCTGCATAAAAGTTATGCATCATGGAAATGGTAGCTGAATGACTTTGGACCGATAGATGTGGATAAGAAGCAAATTTTGCGACCATCTGATTGTAGATTTAACATTTGATCGTCGTAAGCGACGATATGAGATTGTCGGTTTCAAAATTTCGATACGAATAATTGTAAGATGAAATAACCACTTGGGAATCTTAATCTTATCTGCATGAAATAAAATTTAAACCTTAAATTTTGCTTGATCTGATTTCCTCCAGTTGATGGTGATTCACTTCCAGTATTCGACCATCCATCATCGCTATCAAAACGAAGTTTAGATTCAAACAAATCATCCAAGGCTTCTCGAGTGGCAGTCTATGAAAATTTTAAATTGATAAGAATTTCGAAATAATAGTGCTAAAATATATGATCGAAATGATTAATAAATGATATGATAATTCCTTCAGTTGCTAAAAATACGGTAAATGAGCTTTTATATTTGAAAAATATGTTTTTCGGATTATAGATATAGGGAAGAGAATGACAAATTGAATAAAATGAATTAGCTCAGAGTTTTCGTTATTTTATTATCATTTATCTAATTTTCTTAGCATTTATCCAGCTCAGTTATACAATGAATACAGGATACTAATAATTAACTGTATGATTAATTACTGCATTGATAGTCGGTGAATTACTAAAAGGAACATCAATTAAATCATTGGAATTCCAATAGCTATCCTCCGGATTTTCAAAAGTAAATTTTCGATGAGCTGCCATAAATTTTCACCGTTTCTTTATATTGCACCAATTAATACACAAAGCATGCCTGAAATATATAAGTCTTACTGAAATTTAATTTTTATTAAGGAAAAATCTAACTTTGGAATTCATCTGACATTCGAATTTCTGCTGAAATTTAGCAGAATTTCAATAAAACACCAATTCTTTTTCATTTCTTTTTTTTAGATGGTTTCATGAAAAATATGAAGAGTAAACGATAAATCAAAAATAGTCGGAAACATCAGATATTTTAATCGGAAATATCCGATTAAAAATATCCGGAAATACCCGAAATATCCGGTATTTTGGTCGAAAATATCCGGTACTTCAACAGGAAATAAAATCCCACACATCCCAACCGATCAATTTTCAATTATCAAACATGAAAAAAATCTGTGATGAAAATTCAAAATAAATTATGGACGAGTGGATATGTTAGTTGAAGAGACGCTAGACATAAATGAGACTTTTGAGAAAATATGAAGTTAGAGAGTGAGAAAACATTTAGTCAGTGTGTGTAGCAGTTGAAGCAGAGATTGAGAGTTTGCTTCAATACAGTTTTGTATGTGTGTGTGTGTGTGTGTTTTTTTTTTATTTTTATTTTCATAAATGCGATAAATGAATTTGTAAAAAGTCGATAATGTTTGAAATTTTGTAATTCTCGAATGATCTTTTGAAGATCAGGAATTGGTTTTTTTTTTTTTTTTAAATCAATTTTTATCAAGTTTATAATGATCTATGAGTTTTAGAATGATCTATGAATTTGTTGAAATAATTTCCAATTAAGTTATTTTAACAAGAATATATGTAAATGTTTTTATCAAATTTTCTTTACCAATAATTGCATCGATTACCGTTTTTACAAATAGTTAATCAGGAAAATGAATGAAACTATTGCATGATTTGGACGTATATTTTTATAATTGAATACAATTTTTGGAATTGAATACAGGAATTGAACATTAATTTTAATTTAACTTTTTCCCATTTTTACTTGCAAGAGTTTCATTTTATTTATGGAATGTTCTTTTTTTTTTTTTCCTTCAAAATACTAGATATTATAGCAATTGAAAAGTTTGCTCTTTTTCCCGTATGGGATGAATTACTCGTTGATGGTATTGCGATATGATTAATTAAGTAATAATATGTTAAATTGAAATTCCAATTCCTATATATTACATATTCATTTCTCATAAGTTCAATTTAGGGTTACTGCTAGATAGAGATGCTCATGAAGTTCGGCAGATGATATTTGTTTTTTTTTTTTTTTCACAAATCAGAATATTATAAGTTAAAGTTCAACGAGAGAACGACAATGAATGATTAATTAATTAATGTGTTAGATTGAATTTTTAATTTGGCATCCAAAAATGAAAATGGAGAAAAAAATCGATTGACTATTGAAGAAAAATTAAATTAAATGTTGTTCAAATCATTTTATGTGCAACATTTACAGAAGTTTAAATTCATAAATTGGCAAATTTTAAAATTCCTTCATAAGAATTTATTACATACTAATGCGTATATTTATGCAACGATGATTAATTAAGGTATTAAATAACGCATTTTGTTAGTATGAAATAATTTCATGAAATAAATTTTTGAAATTTGAAAATTTCATGAAATAATCTAGTTTCATTATTGATTAATTTAATCAAATTGTGCTAAAAATTTGAATCCTCATTCAAGTTAATTTATTCAAAATAGCAAAAAAAAAACTTTATTCATTTATTTCAATACTTGATGACGATAAATTTGAATATTTGGATCATCCTGATAATATTATAAATGTAGATTTAACATTTCATTCTGTTATTTCGTTGCTTTAAATAAATTTATTATTTCCAAGAATATTTTCAGTTGAATATAAAATGAATTGAAATTTATTCAATCAAAATAAATTACGATAAACTGAAATATAATCAAAACAAACTTTGTTAAATGAAGTTGAAACAAATTAATTGTTATCAAATTAAACAGAAATGAGCTAATTTGGTCATCACTAAAATCCAAATAAATTATTAAATAAACTAGACAAAATAGTGACAAATTAAATTTGGTAAAAATTGACAATAAATTAATGTTAACATTGATTCAATTAATTTAAATTAAATTATTATCAACTAAAATGAAAAGAATTGTTTGTTTTGAATATTTAAATGTTTACTGATATGAAAAAATAAATATATAAAAATTTAAAAAAATAATTTGTTCGAATCATTTCATACTGTTTGCATTTTGGAAAGATTTTGTTCGGTTGATTTGAAAGTGCGACTTTTTCTTCTTTCTCTCTCTATAATTACTGATTTATTTAAACTAATTCTTAATTAGTAATACATAATTAGCAATTGAATATAATTCATTTAATTAAACAAAAAAAAGATTACTTGAATAATAAACTTGCCATCGTGAAAAATTTACATTTGTTATGTGAATGTGAATATGTTTGCGTATCATAATAAATGATAATTATTAACAAAATTTTATATCGAATTTTTTAAAATTAAAAAGGATTGAAAAAGAAATAGATTTAAAGATTAAAAAAACAAAAAATTTGGTATGGAAATATTTTATTTACTTTTTTAAAAAAAAAAAAGTCAAACAAAACGAGAATTGTCATTAATTCGTAAACATTTATCAGAACAAAAATGAATCGAGAAGGATCAGAAGATGATGGTGCTACTGATAAACCAAGTTATCTTTGTTATAAGGCTTACATTAAGGTTTGTTCATTCCTTTTGTTTGTTTGTTTGTTTGTTGTTTATTTGTTTATTTGTTTTTTGTCCGTTTGTTTGTTTGTTTATTTGTTTATTTGTTTTTTGTCCGTTTGTTTGTTTGTTCACTCATTTGTTTGTTTATTTGTTTGTTTGCTTGCTTGCTTGTTTGTTTATTTGTTTTTCCTTTTCATATAATCGTTTCAGACTTTTTTTTTTACGGTGATATTTAACGAATCTAATTAATTTTAAAGAGGAAATAAATTTTTTTTTGAGGAAAAGGAAAATTTTTTTTTCAAATTATTTGAAACTTCAAAAATTTTTTTCCCATTTCAGTATTCTTCCTTTCAAACATTGTAGACGGCTGGTTATGTTATATTCATTTCATATTCAATGATTGGAATTAAACGATTATGCGATCATATAAATCAATGGATGATGCTTAATCGATGTACTACATGTCAACCGTATGAAGAAGGAATTACCGGGGTAATGATTAAGTTGTTAAAGTTTTAATTAGTTATAAAAATATTACCGTATTCATTAATATCTTCAATCCTTAATCACACTTGTATAATAATGTACTAAAAAAATAAAATATGGTTATGTAAATGATGATGAAATATGCGAACAAATTTTACATCTCATTATTGGAGTAGCAATTAATTTATTAAAACTCTGATTAAACTTACGCTAATTGCGCTAATTAAACTTATTATTTTATAAAAAAAAGGAAATAAAAGAATTGGCAATTAATGAATACATTTGTTTAACTGCCATTCTTAAACACAATTAAGGTCATCTTCTCTTTTTTAATTTAGTTAATTTAATTTAATTTAAATTAATTTGAATTTGATAAACCTAATTAGCAACATAATACAATCGTATAAATGAATATATGTTATTGAACGAATTGAATAAGGAAATATATTTTGTTTAATTAAATTGCTTCAAATTTGTTCTTTAATTAGCTAAAACAATTAATATTAATAAATTTATTAAATGTCATTCCATTACATATTAGAATTAAATGAAATTTAATTTTTCTTTTTTTTGTTATTGTTGAATAATTTTAGCTACTTTGGGGTGCATTTGAATTATTATTGTATGGTTTAGCGCCATTATCAGCGCTTTTTGCACTAATTCATGTTGACATAGAATGGCTCATTCCAGCTTATGCAATACGAATACTTTTTCCAAGCTTTATGCTTACTGTACCAATAATGTTTACCATTGTAAGTTTTAATTAAAGTAAGTAAGCAGTAAAGTAAGGATAGAGTAAAAAGTGATTGTAGTTTATTGATTTTGGATGTATTAAATTATTGATAAAAATTAGTAATTTTAATGAATCAATATGTTTATTTTTTCATTCTATAGCTTGAAATTTTGAAAAAACGATGGAATTATAAGAACGAATAAATTATTCAATCAATTTTGATATATTATAATAGTTAATGTAATAAAATCGATTTTGTAATAAAATCGATAAGTTCATAGTGATAAAATAAATAATGATAACAATGATGGTTGTGATGGTAATAATGACAATAATAATAATGATGATGATGACAATGATAACGATAGGAATGATGAAGAGATAACACAATGATAATGGTGATGATAATAATAATAATAATGATGATGATGATGATGATGGTGGTGATTGATGATGATGATGATGATGATGATGATGGTGATGATGATGATGATGATAATGATGATGATGATGATGATGATGATGATGATGATGATGATGATAATGATGATGATGATGATAATGATAATGATGCTGTACTTGGCTTAGGGTTGCGACTTCAAGGAGGAAGGGTGAATGATATGTTTGTTAGTATATGGAAAAGAAACCTATAACAATAGTGTCGTTCTCCTTCAAGTTCGTATCCATAAGGACAAAGGGAGGCGGAGAGTGAACGATGGTTGAAAACAGAGTAAACG